AACCCCAGGACAAGACTTAAACTAAACTCGATTCATATGTAGCTTGCAAACATCCAAACAAACTTAGGAGAAGAAAAAGCTAAATCGAATAAAACAAAATAAAAACATAAAAACATTATCCTCAGTAAAACTGTCTAGCGGTCTCCTCACATGCAACGAAAGTAGGAAATTTAAGAAAATTGTGCTTAGGCTTCCAATCCAAGGGTCCACCATTGCAAAAGAGTCCAACGTCCTTTCCAAATTCTTCCGGTAAATGTCTCCAAATTTCAACCAACATACACTTCCAAAGCTCAAGAAGATGGATACAAGTGGAGTGGAACTTGTGTAGAGAAGAAGGGGTTAGAAGCCAAGACGAAATAGAGAGGAGGAAAGGGGGGATGGAACAAGCTCTTAAGCTTTTCCAAGAAGAAACCCTCAGGTTTTTGTAGAGATTTTTTCTCAGATTTTCAACAACCTTTTCCATGCCAAAACATCTCTATTTTATAGGCAAAAGAAGGTAGTCAAACAACCATTCCACCTCCAACCAAAACCAATCAGGTTTGGGGAAATAAAAAGCCAAAAAACACCAAATAGAAGGCCAAAAGACAGCAAAACTGCACAGAAAACAGGGAGCCAAGCCACGGAAATCCCCACCCAGCAGCCACGGGAAACCCAGCCAGCAAGGAATCCGTAGAGCCAGCACGGAAAACAGGGAGGTAATTCACGGGAAACAACCAGGAGGAGGGAAAACGAGGAGGGCCACGGGAACAGCAACAGCCAGCAGAAATCGAGAAGACAAGGGGAAGAAGAAGAGGCACAAGTCCACTCCACAATAATGAGCTTGAATAATTGCATACCTTTATGAATTTATGAGCTAGGGAGTGCATTTAATCTCCAATCATTGAACTAAACTTCAGCTCAAACATTTATGAGCTAACACCGAGTAGAATTCCAGCATTTTGAGCTCAACACCAAGCAACCAAGGCCCACCCGAGAGCAGCCACCACACCAAACTAAAATCAGCAAGCAGCCCAAGGACGAAATGGACTCAAAAGCAAGCAAATCCAAGGCTTGCCATGTCTAGCACATTCCTACCATGATCATTGGAAGCACAACCATCATAGGATAGCTTAAAAAAACAGAAAACACAACTAATATTGTTCCAAATACAATAAAACAAAAATAACTAAAAATATTGAATGCATCAGAGATGGTATATTTTAAAGTAACTTTTGGAGACACCTCTTTACTTTAAGTGGTACCACATTACATTTTAGTACTTTATATTACCTACAAATAGATGGCCAAACATAAGTTTTCGATTTCTGTTTAAACCAATATCTTTGTACTATACATCTTCTACACCCAGGTTTGGTCTTCATTTCTTTGTTGGGCATAATTGTGCTATAACACCTCCTACCATATGACCATTAAAATGTCTCCATTTCAAGCTATGTATGGTAGACTTCCACCTTTTATCCCTTCCTACATTCATAGCACTTATGACCTTCCCACAATCAATTCTCATTTAACAGATTGGGATACCTTTCTCCAAACACTCCGACAAAATATAGAACAAGCACAAAATTGAATGAAAAGTATGGAAGATCGAAATTGCAGGGATTTGCACTTTTCCATAGGTGATTTAATTATGGTCAAATTACAACCACCTTGACAAAATTTTATTGTTAATTGTACCCATTCTAAACTCGCTAAGCGATATTTAGCCCTTTTCCAATTCAAGACATCCTTAGCCCTTTAGCCTACCACCTACCTTACCTTCCGATAGCAAAATTTATTCAGTTTTTTATATTTCTCTTTTGAAACTATTTAAAGGTTCCCTTCCCATAACCCCTTCATAACTGCCAAATTTTAGTTATGACAACCAACCCCTTATGATATGCTATTTTAGTTTCACGCAATAATTAAAGAACTCCCAGCCACTTTTATTTTTCTTTTGATGGGGCAGGCTTTTTAGGTTTGAAAAAAATAACAATATTGATCATGTTGTTAGTGACTTTTGAATATAATATTCAGGTGTGGGAGGATTATTTAGGGCATTAAAAACTCAAAAGTTAAAAAGTCATAATATTTGAGTTGAGTATAATCAGGATGATTTTTCAAGAGTTAAGAATATTCTTGAGTTTGTCAATTTTTTTTTGGATTGAGCCCTTCTGATTTCACAAGACAGGCCTATTCTTATTGGTGTCATTTATTTTCCTAATAGTCTTGGGTCTTTTCATAGAGTTTTTAACATTTTTATTTGATGTCTCTTCTTTTTTTGTATTAGATGCACTATATATTGTCTTTGAAAGGTGTCTTTCTTTAAGAAAAAAGTATTTAGTTGTAAGTCTCTTATATCGGAGCATCAAATATTACCATCCTCTTCCTTTGGTTTGTGTGAGAAAAAAATCTCATTTAGTGATGATATGTTTTCTCTACTTAAGATTTGGTGAAAATTTTGGTTGAAGTCTTTATCGAGCCTCTAAGGAACTTGAACACCCTTTCTTTTTTTACAAATTGCTTGATAATTATTGCATCATTGTATTATGTCATCTTCTGATCATGGTAATAACCTAGTTTAAGCCAATAAATCTTCATTATCTTAAAATACTCAATAATAATAATTTAACTTTGCTTGATTGTTGAAAATCTTACTTTTGACCTCTTAAATGAGGTCAACATCTTTTACATTTGTTTAGTGACATACAAACTTTTTTTAGAGGTGTCAAATATTAACCTGAACCCGACTTAAAAAAAAAAAAAACCCAAACCCGACTCAGATAATCTGGGTTTGGGTTGACCTGTTTATCAAAGGGGCCAAGTTCGAGTTTTATTTTTTGAACATTTTGAAAAATCGGTTTGGGTTCGGGTAACCCGGTAACCATCTCCAATCACCCTTGCAACTCGCGCGGTCGCATGTACAGCGCAGGAGCGCACCAGCGTAATCTCCTGCTCTGCGCAATCCCGCCAAGTCTACTCGCATGCATAGCGCGCCCGCTCCCACGGGCTCGCCCATGCCGCAACCCGCTAATGCAGTTGTGCATGCTACCACTTGCCCCACATCTGTGCATTTGCTCACTCACACCCGCGCACTTGTGTTGTTCCTCCAGGTCGCCCTCGCCCACAGTCGTGGCGCTCACACTCGTAGAACGCGATCTCGCACACATTAAAAAAATCTGCTAGGGTCCCGACAGGTCGGGATCAAGTCTAAATTTTTGACCCGTTTGTAGAATCGGGTCGGGTTCAAGTTAGCTGAATTGGACCCGGGTCTATTTTGGGTTCGACCCGAACCTGTCCTAAATATTCATTTTGACACCTCTACTTTTTTTGCTGTAGAGAGGAGCATATATGTCCTTCTGATATCTAGCATTAAGGTATTTCATAATCATATATGGATTTTTCCCTTCCTTCCAAAAAGGCCTACATAATTTGAGATCATTTTAAATAAATTTTCTCATTTAGGTGATAATAGGTTGGTAGCATCTATAGTCTCATTTAGCCTGATTTTCATCATTCATGATGGTCGATGTTTTGGAAGAAAAGTCAATGAAGCCAACCATAATAGAGAATGAAGAATCTCGACAAAAAGGGAGAAATAAGAAAAGGAAATAGGTTGGAATAAGCAAACTCTAACCTTGTTCAGATACCATTTAGAAAAGTAGCAAAGCTTACTTTGAATTTTGCTGTTTGATTTTATATAAATTGTGGAATTATTTATAGGCTTCTCCAAGGTTGACAATGAAAAAAAATTAAAGCTATTTTTTTTTAAAAGAAGAAGGTACCCAAGATAGGCTAGTGGCTAAAATAGGAGAATTATTGATTGCAAGTTAAGGGTCATAAGAGAATCAATCCAATGATTAGAGCCTTTAATTAGTGTGCTCAAGGATCGCTATCAATATTGATTGATTTGTGGGTCCCACGACACTTAAACACAGTTTAATTTTTGATATTTTATGATTAACAAATGTTCTATTTCTTTGCTTAGACTGGCAGGAAAACCTCAATGGAAATACAAACTGTCTCGAACTTGAATTGCATAAGAATCATGCTATAAGTTACTAATGAATAAAATTATGCGACATGATGAATAGAGGTGGATGGATCATTTGGCTGAATGAATTAGCTTGGTGAATGGAAAACTTTGCTCAAGCTTGGTATCCGACTCTATGATTGGTCAGATTTTTGCTGGACTGGGTCGAAATAACAATAAGCATAAATAGAGGTGGGCATTGTGTGATTTAGTTTGGGTCCAAGGAATTCAAATCTTTGGCGGTTCTTGGCTGTAATTGGGTCGGGTTTATGGGCCAAAATTTGGGCTTTGTCTTGATCCATCATCTATGGAGATATCCTTGCTCAATTTCAACAGAAAAATGTAACTAGGTCTATTCAAGTTTATAGAAATTAGCTCGGGACCATGCCTTGTTTCAAGCATGAATAGAAATTGGCATCTATGATACTGAATAACATGCAAAGCTTGAAATTCTAACTAAACTATGGGTAACAAAAGGGAAGATTTGGTATTCACTGACATTTTTACTTGCATCATAAAGAAAGCTCAAACCTTGATGAGATATTTCACATTGGGCTAGCTTTTATCTCATGACTAGTTTAATGAATACCATCTACTCATATGCACACGCACAATCATATTTATGTAGTCAGACTATGTTACCTGCGAAGTCATCTATCTCATTTTTGTGTTTTTTTTCCTTGCCACTTGTACGATTTTTATGCTTGCTTGTCTGTATTTTGCTATGTTTCTGGTTGTTTCTATATGTGCTTATGAAGAATAATTACGCAAATCCTTGCAAAGAAGATGAGCGTTTTCAATTATATTCTTTTGTTCATATGTTGTGAATTCTTACTTTTTACCAACCTTTTGATTCATGATTCTTTTCTGTTAAGATGATTAATGGTTTTGAATTTATGACTTTGCTGTACCTTTTACCGGTCCAATATTTTAGGTCAACATATTGTTTTTTGATCTGACTGATCAGTCTTTATTTTGCCCATTTCAGACCGGACCACCAAAATACTTGCTTCTGGACCTTATGGACTTATATTTGCATCCTTTATACCATTTTTATTTGATATCCCAATTTCATCGCAAATTCGAGTATTTGGCATACCCTTCAGTGACAAGTCATTCATATACATGGCTGGTCTTCAGGTTAGAGCTATTCTGCTAATTGTGACCGTCTTACCTGCCTATCTCTCTTTAATATTGCCACGTCACTGTACTTGATCACGTTTACTTATGTCATCAGCTCTTTTTGTCATCATGGAAGCGTTCTTTAGTACCCACCATCTGTGGTCTGCTTGCTGGTTCATTATATCGTCTCAATGTGTTCGGCATCCGAAGATTTAAGGTTTGTATATGAAGGATGCTTTTGTTACTCTCGGTGATTTAGCTGTATGTTTTGCATGCAAATCATGTGGTTTTGTTTCAGGTATCTCTATAAGAGAGCTTTGCCAATTTAATTTGTCTTTAAGTCTTGAACTGTTATTTTTACTCGTGTCAAATCTTGAGATTTAGCTAATTGTCTTTTAGTTATGTAAACGGAGCTTTAAGCTGTGTTCCTGGATTTTGTTGGGGTCGGTGTTACATTGTTGAATTTTCTAGCGATGGTTAATTTGCACCTCTCAGTTTTGGTAGTCTTGGACTTCAATTTTTCTTGAAGTTGCTGATTATCTTGATGGATTTTAAATTAGGGTGAATTCAACACATGCTACTAAAATCATATATAGAGAACAAGATCAAAATAGTCCCTTGAACTCTTTGTGAGGGACCAAAATAATCCTCAACTTTTTTTAAGGGGTTAATTTTGTCTAACTCTTTAAAATGGGATATTTTTGGTCATAACATCCAATATTAGAGTTAATGGTATTAAATGTAAGAGTATTTTAATCATTTTTAATTAAATATTTATTAAATATAATTTTCAAGTAATTAAAATTTCCTCAAAAAAAAAAAAATATATATATATATATATATATGCGGGCTCCCGTCGATCCCGATCAAAAGGTCGTAACTTCCAATTCGACTGGAAGGGGTGAGTCGGTGAAGGTGTCGGCCAGTGCAAGAGACCGGCAGAGGAAGGCTTTGGGTAGGTTGCTCTCCCTCTCTCTCTCTCTTTCTCTCTCTCTCTCTCGGTTTGCACCAGAGATCGGCACAGGCAAAGGGGAGGAAGGAGATCGGGCTTGGAGAAGAGTTGGGTTCGATCGGGCAAGGAGGTCGGCGGCACAGAGGCTTTCACGATCGGAGAGTTCCGATCGTTGCTCCCGATCGGGATTTGGCCGAGAAGCTTACGAAGGCAGAGAGTGAGAGCGAGGAAGCGATGAAGATCCGGAGAAAGCCAGGGCGCGCAAATGACGAGCTCGGTTTCATTTTAACGACGCGAGGATCGTGCGAGGTCGTGTGTGAGGCGACGTCGACGTGCAAGGGGCGTGCGACGTGCGACGTGGGATTGCAGGGCAGGTATGATCTTTTCTCTTTTTTTTTTTTGGTTTTGCCTTACGGGTCAACAATATATATTTAATTAAAAATTAATAATAATTTAAAATTTTATTAAATATAATTTTAAAACTAAAATTATTATTAATTTTCTATTATTAAAGAAACATTTAATAAAATTTTTTAGAAAAATTATAATTAATTGAAAATTATATTTAATAAATATTTAATTAAAAAATATCAAAATATTCTTATATTTAATACCATTAACTCTAGCATTGAATGTTATGATTAGAAATGTCTCATTTAGAGTTGAGGGATCAAATTGGTCCCTCAAAAGAGTTAAAGGATCATTTTGATCCCTCACAAAATGTTGAGGGATCACAAAATGTTGAGGGATCATTTTGATTCTTTTCTCATCGTATATATTTACAAATACAACACCTATATTAAAAAATGAACTATTGGGCCCTGCACATGCATGCACCATAATCAGATTGTTGGCAAATGGCAATTTAACGAAAATAAAAAAATATGAGTTAGATTTTTGTTTTGAATTATTATATTTGTGTGGGAATATGAAGAACGGACGTTTGAGGGTGGCGATTCTTCAAATAGTTAAGATTTGGAAGTTCTTCAAGTTAATCTTGCAGTTGTCTACAAATATTTCTTAACAATCATTTTTCATCCATAACTAATTCTTGATTATTCCTTTCTGTTGTAATTTCTACTATTTCAGCTATGTGAACATGACAGTGCGACCACTCAGGAATAATTCTTCTTATGAAAATTGTTGTATACAACTAAGCCTTTGTTTGAGATAGCTTTTTTACTGTTTTCTAAAACAATTTTTTGATACAAAAGATTTTTGAACTAGAAAATTTTATAATAGAAAGTTACTTTAGAAAGCAGTAAAAAAGGTGTCCCAAACAAAACCTAAGAGAACACTCTTATGTTGATCTTACATATCCATGTGTTTATAATTCACTAGAATATAACAAAAAATCACAGTTCTATGAGATCCGTTACCATATGCTATTAATTCTAATTTAGATATATTGAAAGGTAGTTACAAGTTTATGTGTTTCTAAAAAGGGCACTTCCACTGGTATAGCCACTCATCTGTTTGAATTTAATATTAAGAATGTCATGGATTATTTTGACTTATCGAGCATTTGAAGGACAAACGAAACCCCCCTTTATAAGGAATTTTTATTGCGTCCTCCCACCTGACGTAGAGATGCGTCCTCCCAACGCCAAAAAACTCGGTTTTTGCTCGGTATTGCTAGATATTATTTGGTAATAACGAGGAATATCATCATGTGAAGACCAATACCGAGCTATACCGAGCAATACCGAGCACATACCAAGTTTTCTCTAGGAAAAACTATGTATTTTTTTGTATTGCTCGGTATAGCTCGGCATTGGTCTTCACATGATGATATTCCTTGTTATTGTTTGGTATTGCTCGGTATTTGCTTGGCATTTCTCGTTTTTTAGCGCAATTTTAGCTCTGGGAGGATGCATCTCTACGTCAGGTGGGAGGATGCAATAATAATTCCTTTATAAGGTAGTCAGGCTTCGCAAATCATCTTATTTGAAAGCAGTACTAATCATAACCTCCACAGTTATTATCTTCTGAAAATGGGTCATAAGGTAGTTCTGTTTCAAAATTTAAGTACCTGTGTCAAATTTAACTAGCATTTTGTTTTCAGTGACGGTTGATATTGTTGTATTTAACAATTACACTGCAGACCTTTCTTTTTAGTGCAATTAAAAGCAGCATTTCTGGAAGGATTAATTTGTATTTTACTTTAACATTTTGTAAGGCTTCGGTAGGAATTAATGTTGTTTGAAGAAACTTTTATTAAAATTGCATCATTATGGGTGATACATGCCTTAACTTGAACTTTTGTTTATTGTCCTAGATTATTTATCACATTATTTGATTATCCTACAGTTTCCTCAATTCATAGAATCATTCTTCAGTCGGTTATCATGGTCTGCTCCTAGAAGATCACCACCCCGCATTAATGTCCGAAGGAATGTACCAACTTCTGCCAATCATCATCTGGAGGCAAGACTTCTATCCTTGTTTAGATTTGTCTGTTATAAAATATTGTTATTGTGATCAAAAGTAAAATTCCTGTCCAATGTTTCTAATTAAGTAAATTTATTTCTCTCCTGTGTTTGTGCTAGAAGATATATGCATAATTCTGTCGCTGTTGACAGAGCTAACAATCATGAGTTCATGATTTATCATTATGATCGCTGCTAGGTTTTGCTTGATAGGCTAATATTCTTATGCTCTAATCTGATAATCGTGAAGTATCCCTTGGTTTGAGCGAGCTCTTATTAAAAATAAATAAATAAATAAATAAAAATACTCGCAACTGAGAATTTTGGATGCCTGACATTTTTGTAATAGAAAATGTGGGTATAGCTCGAAAACAAAATAAATATTGAGATGCTGCAGATGCTTTAGGCAATCATGGAAATTTTCTATTGTGTGGTGGAGGAACAATTATTACGTCCTCTGACCGGACGTAGAGCTACGTTCGGCCGCCAATAACATATCGCCACGTGCTTTAACTCTCTACCGCGCGGCCCGACGACTTGACCCGGATCGGAACCCGGGAATGCTATGTTCGCGTATTGCGAGGTATTACTAGGTATTTGCTCGGTATTGCTAGGTATTGCATGACAATAACGAGAAATACCGCTCTGTGAAGACCAATACCGAGCAAATACCGAGTTGTACCAATATCTAGAAAAACTCGGTACAACTCAGTACAACTCGGTATTACTCGGTATTGCTCGGTATTTGCTCTGTATTCGTTATTGCCAAGCAAAATTGACCAATACCTAACAATATCGTGTTGTACCAATATCTAGAAAAACTTGGTACAACTCGGTATTACTCGGTATTTGCTCGGTATTGCTCGGTATTTGCTCGGTATTGGTTATTGCCGAGCAAAATCGACCAATACCTAGCAATACCGAGTAATACCGAGCAATACCTAGCAAAATCGAGAAATACCGAGCCATCCTGGGTTCGTTCCGGGTCGGGTTGTCGGGGCGCGCGATAAATAATGAGAACGCGTGACGCGATTCTACTGGCGGCCGAACGTAGAGCTACGTCATGTGACCGGACCAAATAAAAGTTCGTGGTGGAGGGCCCTTTTTATCACTTTAAAGCCATGCTTGTTCTGGACAGTTGAGGCTTTCACGTGGATTTACAGCTCCGTAGCTTAGATGACCGTCTAGTTTAAATTTGCTTGGATTTTTGCATGATAGCACTGATTGCCTCTGCATGATAATCTGCAAAAGTAAGGGCATTAGGTTTTATCATTTTTCATTCATGGAATTTATTTATTTGTATAGCTGTTTGCCATTGGAAGTATTCTAAAGGTATCCATACTGGTTTTGGAAAAACTTGATGAATGCTTGTGGTTAGAGCGCTCACTTTTCTCTCTCCATTATTTTGGCTCCAGAGAAGTTTTGGATCCACAACCACATCAATCGTAGAACCGCCTGAGTCTTCTGTTGCTATTTTAGTATCCATGGGCTTTGATAGCAATTTGGCTAGGCAGGCGCTCATGCGGGCAAGAAATGACATCAATATGGCAACAGACATCCTTCTTGAAGCTCAATCTCGGTAACTGAAAAACTCAAATTTATTTATCAAAAAATGGGAAAGTGAAGACAGATTGTTCACATCCGAGTTAATATTCAAGCAAGTTAGGGAGGAACCCAACTAACCAGTTGAATTTTCAACAGCTCTCAGTCTGGTTGTTCTCTGTTCTTAGATCATGAGTTAGGAAACTTATTATCTTAGAAATGAACACCGGATCGGATGATATCCACGTACTGATACCCCTTAATGTTTAGGGTATCCTGTAAAATCTCATCTTGATATGGACATGAATGTTTATACTTTTTTTATTGATTTGTCTGCTACAATGCTGTAAAAGTTTTGGGTTCAGTTGAGATGATAATTATATGGAAATCCAAGTTTTTAATCCCGAAGCACTCACTATATATTCTTTTATACTTTTATCTGAATTTAATGCTGTCATTTTATTCATCATGTCCTCATTTATAGTACTTGCTACATGATTAACAGAACATTTAGAATTGATTTCTTATTGTTTTCTAAAATAATTTGTTTGCATAATAATTTTTAATTTAAAAATCTTCTAACTAAAAAATTATTTTAGAAAACAATAACAAAGCCATTTTAAATGAAGTCTTTGGCTCAATATATTTTCATTGAAATTGTTCTCATTCTACACTTTTTAGCCTCACTAGAAATCTAAAGTTAATCATTTTTGCCACTATGAACTTTGCTGCTGGTGATTTCTTTGTGGATTAACACCCATATGACATAACCTATGTGGACTGATTATAATTTTATACATATCTTTTTAGTCTTTATGGTATTTTATTATGGTCTAGTACTATTGAAGTTTTTATTTTATTTTATTTTAATCATTTAGTTTTAACTCTTCTAGTTTGCTTTTATTTGTATCCCTATCTTTAGCTAGCAGATTGAAGATGTTAAAATCTATAATAAATAGAAGTTGTTGAAGGAGTTTAGATGTAATGATTTGTTCCTTTCATTAAGTTATTAAGATTATATTAAACTTCACAAGATTATGAAGGAACATACTAAATCTATAAGGAATTAATTATTAATTTGGTTTAAATTTTGTAATTAATGATTTATATTTTATTGTAATGAAACATGATGATACTATATAATAAAACATTAGAAATAAAATACAGGAAAATAAACTAATCTATTTTAAAAGTTTAAGGTTGGTGCCTTATCGAGCATCTAATAAATGTTAAGTTGTGAGTGTATTATAATATTATTTATTTATTTTAAATTTGTTAAACATTTTTAAAGATGATTTTAATTTAAATTTTCAATGATTTGTATTTTTTATTTGAATTTTATGGATATGGAGCTTCATTTTCATTTTAGGTTTTAAAAATAGTTTAAATGTCTAGTATTCACTTTAAAGATAAATTTTATCATTTAAAATATCTTAGACATAATAAGATATATATTTCACTTAGGGGTGAGGTAATATTTTAGTGACTCAGAAATAATTATTAAGTAAATACAATAATGATATATTTCCTCTAATAATTGTCTTGCATTCTACTTAGAAATATACTAAAAATTATTTCTTTTGTTTTCTTCTTCTGCTTCCCTTCCTCCAGGCTTGATATGTAGGAAGATTATTTAAATTTTAAATTTGTTTAAAAAATTTCGAGATGAATGTAATGTATACTTTATTTGATTATTTTTATGATATATTTATTCTAAAATAAATTCAATAATTTGATATTTATTTTAATTAGAAAATAAATCCCGGTTCACAACCAGGTCAATGAATTTGTTCCTAAAGACTAAAATTGGCTTAATCAGATCAAAATTATGTTAGGTTGGAATCGATCTAATGCAACATTTGACTCGAATCAAGCCTGTGTTTTAACCTATTTTTGAGATAGGCTTGTTTGGAGTCAAAATTAGGGCTAGATTAGGCCAGTTGGGCCGGCTAGCCATCACGGGTAACGACACCGACGCTTAAAGGCACCAACCCACACCAAGAGGCATAAGACACACCTGTGTACGAAGGGGCCTGTGAGCCTCAAAGTAGGAGCGCATGTAGCCCATCTTAATTGATGTTTTTTTTTTCCGTCTATTTTGAAAAAAACATTTCTTTCTTTTTTAAATGTTTTTGCAAAAAAAAATTCCTTTATATTATTTTTTGTGGGCTCCGAAAATTCGTGCCCAGCCTCCCCTCTTTCAGGTGAGTTTTAACGAATTAAGTTCTGACATAAAATTTCAGAAGATAGTTTGGGTTTGAAACAAGACACTACCCAAAGATTTCGCCCTTATTTTGCAAGGACTTTATGATATGAGTTATGGTTTCCTGTAGGCGCAAGCCGCTTTAGTTAATTACCTCTCACGATCATGAGAGATAACTTTCAATTAAGGCTAGTCATCAATTGAATATATCATATCCATAGATATGTGATTCCGACATATAGTAGTAGTAGGAGTCTGGTATATGAAAATTTGATATTTAAAATTTGAAGATTTTACTATCTTGCACTTAAAGCGGATGGTGGGGGGATGATGATGACCCTGATCAAGATCCTATGGTTCCATCATCCCAGATCATTGTGGTTCTTGGTTTACTTAATCAGAGGAGATAGTCAACCCAACCATTACAGAAGGATCCTTGTAGGCAGCCATAGCCATAAGTTGCTTCATGCAAGAGTATCTTATAGACCTATGGTAAGTATTTGTCTAAGGGGTCAAATTTGAATCCACCTTAGCTAATAGAAGGCTTTGTACCCTATCGATTATATCCTATTGATTCATTTATCAATGATTTAATACCTTTAAGGAGCATATGGGCTTTAGCCATGACCATAATTTAGTGGTGCCATTTGGAGGCAAACCACCTGGCTCAGAGGGCCTCATTCATAATTATTTACCTGTGGTGTCATTTAGCAGTGGAAACCATGGTGTGGTTTCATTTGGTAGTGAAACCACCATTAGAGGACATGTGCCAAGTCCTAACTAGCAAGAGACAGATTGAGAATGGATCCTAGTGATATTATCGAGTATACATTAGCTTTTTATGAGCTAAAGTAGTTTTTAAAATTGTCAACCTCAGCAAATTGTTGATGATGGTGGATGGGTGTTTGTAATTTTAAGTGTTTGATAGGTTATTTCAATTTTAAATATTCATGGAGTTTGGTTTTTTTAAAGTTTTGGATTTTTATGGGCATTTGGGTGACATTTGCTTGCATGTTTATGATCCCCTTCGATTGAGATTTTCATTTAATGTGCCCATCATCAGTGTATATGGGCAATTCTATTTTATTAGTTGAACCTTGTCGACTTTGTCTTATTTGTTGACAAAGGATCATGTTCGTTGTAGGCTTAGTATCTTTCGTAGATTCTTGAGAATGAACCCCTCTGGTTGAGATTTATATTCAACACGACCATCATCAGGGTGATTTTAAGGATATTTGAAAATATTTGTATATTATGAGAGTTTGAGGGAATTTTAAAATATATAATCCCCTCCAATTGAGATTTACATTCAATACGACCATCATCAAAGAATTTAAGAGCATTTTGTTTTATTGATTGAACCTTATCGACTCTATCTACTTACCGACAGAGGATCATATTCTTTGTAGGCTTTATGCCTTTATGAGTAAATTTTCCTTATTATAGGCCTTGAAGGCCCAATATAAACTATAAAATAAATATTATGGTCAATGCCGAGTCCGCATATTGGTTTAACAGTTTGAGTCGTATCGACTCCTATCTAGTTGCATAGAAGGATCATGCTTGAATCTAAATTTATTTCTTAACCCGCACGACATTCTCATATGTCACATGTGTAGCTACAACACGCTAACCATGACCTACATGGGTATATGTCGTTGGATGCATTTTGCTCTATGCATTCACATGTGTAGTTGATATGATTTTTAAAATGCAATTGCAGTGCCACATGACATACTGGAGTGAAACCCTATGCTTATTATAAATGCATGCGGTGGTATTTTTGAAATGCAATTATAGTGTCAAATAACACAGTAGAGTGAAACCCTATACTTATGCAGGAGGATGATTTTTGAAGTACAATTATAGCATCAAATGATACACTGGAGTGAAACTCTTTACTTATATAGGAGGATGATTTTTGAAGTACAATTGTAGTGTCAAATGATATACTAGAGTGAAACCCTCTATTTATGCAAGATGACGATTTTTGAAGCATAATTGTAGTGTCAAATGAGACACTAGAGTAAAACCCTCTACATATTACAAATACATGCTAGAGGTCTATTTGAAATATATTTATAATGTTGGATAACATGCATGTATAATATATTTCGCAAGTTATGACACATGCATATTCCACATGTTATTATGCAAATGCAATGCATATATGAGGGACATTTTAAATTATTTGCATGCAGTGAAAAGGGGATTTTTGCATTTTAAATGTAGTCGACTGTATAGGTGACCATTGCTGCCAAATGCGTGGGGTCTTATTTTGGGCTTTGTTGATGCCTTCTGTCCGCTTATATAAATGTTATGGATTCGGTGGCGTGGCGTTGTGCTTTAGCGGTTCATGATTTTTACTAGAAATTCGCTATTTTTACTTATAGGTGAATCATACCATTGCATTTAGAATAATCATGAGATACTTTATTGTTCTTATGCAGGCTCCATCCTTATTCTTAACAACAATAACATGAACTGCATTCCGATCCTTACTTAGACTGAATAAAGACATCCAAACGACATGAGGTCATTTTGTGATAGATGAGATATCATAAGCTGATGAGATCGAAGGCTTGGCTAATGCACTGTTGGCTCTGCTTTTCTTTAATTTGCCATGAGGTATTCTCCTTGATGCATGATCATGACAGAGTGTAAAATCATCTTTAATGTCTCAGTGACATCCTAGTATCTGATGTGCATCTAGTACATAGAACTTCTTATACGACTCCAAAATAGTGTATTCGAGGAGTTTGCTCTATGTACTTATGATGAATATGTAGGACGGTGAGTTTAGGGGCTTGATCTATGAGTTTTCAGTTGAATGGGGTGGCATATTTTTGAGAGCCCAACTTTTTTAAAGAGATAATAAACTAAGACATCTTTTCTTCTTCAACTGCTCATTCTTTGATTCAAAAAAATCATTAATAAAATCTTTTAACCTTATGTGATTAATGCCATAGTTAGGGCTTTCTGTTGGCAGCAGATCAACGGGTCATTTGAATTTATCGAAAGTCTTCAGTACCTTTGTAGACATGATAAGATAAAAAATCTTTTCAATTGATCATTCTTTGACTATACAAAATCATTGCATTTTGCATGCTTTCTGCCATAGTAGGGGTCTTCCTTTGATGACATATCGATGAGTTTCCTCTATGCATCAATTTACCTTTATACCTAACTATGATTGTC